CAAAATAGAAAATTTCCCAGTTAGAATAACTGATACTTAAGTTCTCTATGCAACATCAGCAAAATACTTGGGCATCACCCTAGACGCGAAGCTGCGCTGGAAAGTCCATGTCAAAAAGAAAACAAAGAAACTTGATATATATATCTGTACCTCAGAGCTAAACTGTATTAACTCCATTTTTTTGAAAAATTGTATTATTTCACTTTCTACATAACAGACTTCACATCTTTCATATGCAATACGATATTAAATCCTATTTAATGTAGTTTCAAAGATAAGCAACCATAAAGTGTATTAAGTCCCTCAGTAGTTCCGAGCTAAACAGTCGTTTACACTTAATACCCAGCAATGTAAGTATTATTAGTAGTATTAGTGGAGTTAATATCACATGCACATTTAAGATGTATTAACTCCACGGAACGACGTAAAACCGCGGTGTGGCACTGTAGTCAGTGTGTTTATGCTATTTCACATTGATGGTGTGTGTTTAATAACATTCTAAAGAATGTGTACCAGAGCAGATAAAATTGTGAAAAAAGCTTTAGAAAAGCATCAAGAGGTATGCTTTACTTCTCCGACGCAATGCAGTACTGATTCTGTGGAAAACAATCAAGCATTATCCTCTTCGTCGGCGATAAATAAATCTAACCTCAAAATAGGTACGTCTTAACAAATTTATTTAAAATAAAAAATTATTAGCCTTCAATATTACATAAAAACTTAATACGTATTTAGATATTTGGGCGATTTTACGTGGTATTTTAACCGAAAATCCTTGTATTAAAAATGGACTTAGTACACAATAATTACTTTAAGACCGACAGACTGTATTAACTCCATAATTCGGTTTATAACTTAAATATTAAATGTAGTTATTAAATTAGGATAACAGTAATTATGTTTTAGGAAAAGTCGGCGATCTTGATGAAGGTACAAAAAACCAAAATATGCCTATTAAAATTATTTCTAATGTTAAAATTGCCTCACCTGTATCTTGCGAAGTTGTTATAGACAATGTTTCGCCATCTGTTTCGAGCAAAGGTATAACACAATTATTTCGGTTTTTGTAAATAAATAAAATATGTACATGTTTTATAATTTTTAGAAATCAATTTGCCCATATCCTTAGATGGAAATTACACTAATGGTACAATATCAACACTGAATCATGGATCCACAAGTCTTAATACACAAAATGTTGTAGAACTTGTCTCAACAACAGGTATATTTATTTATACTTCACAATTTCCTATTTGAATCATAATATTTTTTTGTTTAGTTTCAGAAAATGGAATCATTTTACAGACTGCTTTACCCATTACCTGTAGTCCTCAAAGTATGGCAATTGTAGTGCAAGATAGAGAAGAGGTAGATCACGCGGATTTATGCTTGGAGTCTGATGACTCTATCAATGATAAAACATACGGACCAACTGACAACGAAACAGATAATTCTGAAAGTGAGTCAGATAATCAAAAACTCCCAGGTAAAAAAAGGAAATCAAATCCTCTGCGTTGGAAACGGAATGTTCGTAAAAAACAAGTGGCCGGTGGTAAAAAACGCCAAACCAAGAATACAGTTTTGCAATCGAAGCAAATTGGAGCACCATGTAAAGAAACCTGTAGCGTTGGGTGCACAAAAGCTATAGCTGAAGATCAAAGACGTTGCATACATTCTGAATTTTGGGATCCTAATAAAAACATCGACATGAAAAGACAATTTGTAGCAGCAATGGTAGAATGCGTACCTGTGAGACGTATCCGGGAAACCACAGGAGCACGTTCTGGCATAAGGGAATTTACCAGGCGTTATTCATTATATTTTAATCATGTAAGGTATAAAGTTTGTCAGAAATTCTTTCTGTCTACCTTAAGTATATCCGAGACATTCGTTACAACAGCTCTTGCGAAGAAAAAGGAATGTGGAGTAGTTAATACAGACCAAAGGGGTAAACGTGAGCCTGTCAATAAAATTCCCGAATTCATCAAACAAGGCATTCGGGATCATATTAGCAAGTTCCCAACTATTGAATCGCATTATTCTAGAGAGCGTTCTCAGAAAAAATATCTTGGTTGTGAACTAAATATTACCAGAATGTATGAGATATACAGATCTGAGTTAATGGAAAGCAATACACCCGAAGAAAACATTGCTAAACTTTGGCTGTATTCTGAAATATTTAACACAGAATTTAATCTTTCATTTAAACTTCCATACAATGACACGTGTGATGAATGTGACAGATTAAATTTGGCCAAAATTCAGATGGTAGAAGGAAAAGAAAATATTGAACAAGATTATCAACAACATCTTTTGGAGGCTAGTAACAGGTATGAATTAAAAAGACTTGATAAGGAAAGAGCAGCAACAAGTGGTGGAACAATAAAATTATTGACACTGGATTTACAGAAATGTCTGCCAACGCCTGTTCTAAGTAACCAGCAGAGTTTTTATAAGCTCAAGTTATGGACATACAATTATACGATTTCAGACACTTCAGGTAATGTTACGTCTTGCATGATGTGGGATGAATCAAAGTCTGGACGTGGCGCAAACGAAATGGCTTCGGGCTTTTTGAGGTGGACTGAAGCTATAAATGAAAATATAAGAGAGATTACTGTATGGTCCGACAACTGCCCATCCCAGAACAGAAATATGATAATGGTTATGCTTTACTTTTGGATACTTCACAAGTATCCACAGATAAAAATTATAAATCACAAGTTTTTGTTACGTGGTCATACCCATTTAGAAGTGGACAGTGATCATTCTCTTATTGAGAGAGAACGAAAGAAAACACCCTTTTTAAAAATCATGACTCCCTGGGACTGGCAGCAGCTAGCACGACTTTGCTGTCGTTCTAAAACATTCAATGTAATTAATATGGAACTAAATGACTTTAAGGATTTTAAGACTCTTTACAACAACAACTGTTCACCTTTTGTTATAAGGAAAAAAACTCAGCAAAATACAGACTTTCGCATGTCAGATGTTGTCCACTTGCAAGTACGCAGCGATAATTTAGGATTACTTTTTTTTAAAACTAATTTTAATTCGGAAACATTCCAATCTGTTGATCTTAACAGAAATACTAGGCGTGTTGTATTTCCTGCAGTCCTGCCTGTGATTCGCGATAAGCCAAAGGAAATATCTACAAAAAAATACACACATCTGCAAAGTTTGCTCACCTGGGTTCCAAGTGAATTTCATAATTTTTATAAAAATTTATCCCACTCCGATAAAGTAGATGAAGATTTATAAAATTTTTACAAAACAATGTTAAGTGAACAATCCATTGAGTTTCGTTTTTCGTTAATTTTGTTTAATCATTTTGTTGACTTGTTTATTTCATTTAATTAAATAAAAAAAAGTGTTCTTGACTAAATTTTGTTTCATTTATCGTATTATCTCCAGATTATTTATTCACCTGTGTTAACTTACCATTATATTATCTCCCGAATATGGTAATTGTTTCCACGCTAAACAGTATTAACTCCATGTTTTTCAAAAAATTAAAGATCTATAAAAATAACAAATACAGTAATATATAGTATCATTTATACCTCTCAAAGGGTGTTTGTCACATACTTGAAGAAAAAGAAATAAAAATTCTATTTAAAATTTACTCTTTATATTTCTTTTAATTTGCTCTCCTGTAAAATTTCAATTTTGTGAGTTAATACAGTTTAGCTCTGAGGTACAGATATAATAAATTGTATTGGTTGAATGAAAAAAATATTTAACATTATCCATTCATAATAAATTATCCATTTACAAGCAAGTACTGAGGCCAGTATGGGTGTATGGGTGCCAACTCTGGGGCTGTACCAAAGCTAGTAATCGATATAATATACAGAGATTTCAAAACAAAGTACTGAGGAACATTATTGATGCTCGTTGGTATATCAGTAACAGCAACCTTCATCAGGACCTAGGGATGGAAACTGTGACCGAAGTAATCAAGAGTCACGAGCAGAGGCTGCATAGTCATGTGAATGTCAAGACAATCCAGCTTCATGACAATACTGAACTAAAGAGAATACTCATAAGAACAAAACCATTTTAGTTAGTGTAAATGTGTAACAGTTTAGTATAGTGAAGTAAAAAGCAGAGTATAGTGATGTGATGTTATTCCATGCCAGTTGTAGTACATTAGTTGATAGATAAAATAAGGATAAGCGATACGGTAAGCACTTATATTTAAGTGTTTGCTCTTTATTAAGTTTACTATTATTAAGGTCAGAAAATAATTGATACTGATAATTGGTCATTTGTGAACAGATAGCAGTATACAACCACCGTACAGGTGTTATACAAAAAAAATTATTATTATTTATTTGCAGATAAAATCTACATAAATGCTGTTTAATCACGTTACGCAGATACTGAACGTAAAATAAAAGTCAGACAAAACTACTCAGAATAATTTAAAGTCGATAAAGGACTTCAACAGGGACGTTGTCTGTCAGCAACCTGACTTAAACTTTAAATAGATGAAACAATAATGCACTGGAACAAGAAATTTGGACAGATGAAATTAAAAATTAAAGAAAACTATATCCACAGCCTTGTGTTTGATGAAATAATTTTAGCAAAAGACGACATTGTCTACATGATAAAAGGGCTGGAAGAACAATTTAGAAACTGGAATTTGGATATCCGTAGAAGACCTGGAGATAAATAACAACCCAATAAATATAAATACTTAAGGGCAACTTTAACAAATACAGAAGCAGGTAAAACGAATAGGATAAACAAAATTAAGAAACGAAGACAATTATACAAAAATTATACTCGATTATATAAAGCGATGGTATTATAAACAATACGCAAGACTAATCATGAAATCATATCTATGCACTGAATCGTATGCAGTTTTAAATTCCACGAATATGTGGTGGATATTGACGTAGAACTCGTAGAACTGACGTCGTGAGTTTTTTGAAGAATATGCCTCACTGTAAATATTTGTTTAGTTGTTATATAGTAAAGTACAGAAATGTGCTTATCTATTTTTATTTTTAACAAAATATAATCATTATATAATATATTTACAATGTATAATAGTAATCACACTTAAACTTCTTGTTTTAAGTCATATTCGAATTTCAAAGGTCCCATGCTAGAAGGTGTTTCGGGTCTGTTTTTGATCCAGTTTCTGATACCTTTAACGTCTAGTACGTTTTTTTTTATTTTTTGTAGACTAGGATAAGAGTCAAAGGTATTCTTTCCCAGGATATTCATCAGTCCTTCGTAGATACAAATGAATATGATATCAGCCCATGACAACTAAAAAGAAATAAATTAAATACGTTAGTTTCGTATGAAGAATATCAGAAATAATGGTTTTCAATTATTATTAAATAAAGAGTATATTTACATTAAATTATATGTATACTAGCTGACCCGGTAACCTTCGTAATGCCATAGAATTAAATATTGTGTCTAAGTTCAACAAGCTCTAAGTAACAAAAACCTCGTGGTATTCAAATTGATCCAATCAAAGTGTTAAAAATGAACTATTTCCAATATCTAACAACTGCTTTGAAAAAACAATTGCACTTAAAATTTGTTGCAAAAAACTCGTATGTTATTTGTCAATTGAGGCGTCTTTACTGCTGCCACAAATGGATGATGTTAGACATGCGTTTAGTTCTTCCTCAACAGTTAACAGAAATATAGAAAATCACCTCGGAAAAATCACGGAATACACCGAAAAATGGAAGATTAAAATCAGCGTAGAGTAGACACAGTATCATGTTTACTTAGGAAACGAGTCCACCAATGAAAGAAATCACAGTAGGAGGAAACAAGATCCAATCAGGAGATTTAGTCAAGTACCTAGGAGTTCACCTCGACAGAACACTAAACTTCCAGTTGCATACACAGAAAACCAGGGTAAAAGTTAGGTAAAAATGGAAGATCAAAATTATCGCAAAGAAGACACAATTTATCATGTTTATTCAGGAAACCAGTTCATCAGTGCAAGAAATCACAGTAGGAGGAAAGAGGAACAAATCAGAAAATTCAGTCAAGTATCTAGGAGTCCACCTCGACAGAAGACTAAACTTCCAGTTTCATACACAGAAAACCAAGGTAAAAGCTAATGCTGCTAAAAAACTAATACTTCCTTATATTTTCAGACCCGGTCCACTATCGAAGGTCAAGAAGATCCAATTATAACAGGCCTACATTAGACGGGTGATACTATACGCTGTCCCAGTCTGAAGTTGCATAGTGGAGTAAAACTGGAGGAGACTTGAAGCTACAGAAACATCATGCTACAGGATCATCAACGGAGCAATATGTGAAGAGAGAATATCTAATGCAACCATCAAAGAAAGTCTCCAATATACATCACTGAGGGAGGTGGCTGAGAAAAAGACCAGATACTTCTTCTACCAAGCCACATGAAGACTATTAAAGACCAAAGACATTCTCGCGAAAAATCGGATCTAGAGGATATACAGACAAACCCACAGCCTGATCAACCATCTGATCAGGTTCTAGCCGGGTGGTTGCTGAAGACAACCAAGCAGGAGAGTAGGTACATGCCACAAAATAAGTACCTACAAAAGAAGAAGCCAAGGAGTCCATGAGAGAAAAATTCAAGATCCTAGAGAAAGAAAACCAAGATCTGGTAATGCAACAGCGGGACGTCAAGAAGAAAGAAGATATCTTAAGTTAAATTTAAGTGAGAAATGTATACAGGGTGATTGATTAGTGTGAGGAAGTTCAGTAGATTTGTTATAGTAAAAATTACAAATAAAATTTATTGACAAAAATTGTAGAGAGCTTTAAATTCCACATTTTAAAATTTCTCACAATCTTACAGAGTGTTCTGTAAGATGATGGCAGACCAAACATAATATGTTTTTTTAAACGGAACATCCTGTATTTTATTTTAAATATTAAATCTGCTTCTTTGCTTTCTTTTGCTTCTCTGTTACAACTAGTATTTAAAAACTTATAACCAATATTACCTGAAAATCGTATCAAGTTTAACTCAATGTATAATTAAAAAGGAGTATAGGAGCAATAATCTATTGCAACCATAGTTTTTTAATAATTGTTAAAAATTATAAAACATATTTGTTTTTATAATATTCGTTAAATAAAATACAGGATAAGGCAAAATACAAGTACATTATTTTCTTGGTTATTTTAATAAGAACACCCTGTATTTTATATCACTATCGAAAACTACTAGTATCGTACTTTAAATTTAAGGAAGTACTCCCTATACTTTAACTTGTCAGTTTTCTAGATATTTTTATTTTTCAATCAAAGTATTAATTTGATAAATATTTTAACGTTTACCAATAATTATTTTGAGTTCGCCATGGTTGATTTGTCAGAAACTGGCAGTTTGACATTATTGATTATTATTTCAGTATTGGGGTACACCGAAAATTAGCAACAATTATTATTTAGTAATTCAATAATTAATTCAATTTAAATTGGCAATAAAGAATTTTACTACTGATGAAATGGTTATTTTTTATAAATTTTATTTGAAACAAATTGTTTTCTTTTCTGTGTCGTTATTTCGTTACTGAATTAATAAACACGGACTCACGGACTCAAGTTTTTACATTTACGCTCAGTAAGTTAATTCCCTTACTACTGCGTCACTAAAGCGTTGATATACAATTTTATATACACTTCTCCAAGAAACTAACGCACCACTTTGAAATATTTTAATATCGTTAATAAAAATTTCCATTGTAATGTTATATTTTGCAAGCCTCTTGTATATACTATTCGTACGTATATACATTGATACTGTCTGAAGAAGGTTGGAGTTATCGAAGAATTGGTCGTCGCTTTAATGTGTCCTACACATCCGTCTCACGGATGTTGGAAAGATTCCTCCAAACAGGGGATCATACTCGCAGACCAGAACAAGGAAGAAACCGGTAACTACCCCTATTCAGATCGATTTTTAAGAATTTCTGCTCTTCGACAACGTTTTGTAACACATCGAAGTCTACAAATTCAGCTTCGAGACGTGCATGCTATACAAATTAGTACTGAAAGTGTTCGCCAATGACTTAGGGAATACAAATTAACACATAGGATTGCCGCCCGAGGTCCTCTATTAACTGCAGAGCATCAAAGGGGGAGACTACATTTTGCCAGAGAACACGTTAATTGGATAGAGGCTGACTGGGAACGAGTGCTATTTACTGATGAATCCCGATTTTGTTTGTACAATAACGACAGACGTGTTCGTGTGTTGCGACGACCCAACGAACGATATGCTTAGTGTTACTTCTCACACACCACATTTTTTGGTGGGGATCCGTTATGGTGTGGGGTGGTATTTCTTTGACCGCACGTACGGACCTAGTGATCATACAAAATGGAACTGTTAAAGCGGAAAGGTACATATTGGAGATCCTGGAGCAACATGTAGTACCATTCGCTTCTTATATCGGTGAACATTTCTTACTAATGCAAGATAATGCCAGACCTAACGCTGCACAGATCGTCAGAAATTATCTAGAAGAGGTAGACATTAACACTATGGAATCGCCAGCACATAGTCCGGATTTAAATCCGATCGAAAATATCTGGGATATACTTGGTAGGCGATTAAGAGCGACACCGCTCCAACCAAACAACTTATAGGAAGTGGGAGAGAGGCTGATGCAGATTTGGAGAGAACTAGACCAAAATAAAATACGGTAATTTTAAGTATGGGGCCAACGATGTGAGGCTGTTATACATAGTAGAGGTGGAAACACTCGTTATTAAGACTTTTTTCATATTTTAGTTTACTTTTCTTATCATTATTTTTTTAGAATTTTCCGATTTATTTTTTTTTTCTCCTGTACTTCAACATTTTCTCATGATTAGACAAATTGTTATAATTACTAATTAAATGTAGAATAAATCTGGTGAAGTTTTATTTTTTATAAATCAAAAGACTGATATTTTTTCTATACTCAAAAAAATCTATACTCAAAAAGAGACTAAACCTAGCTTTTAATGTTGATAAAAAATCCAACACTACTTCCATATATAGATCCTTAACTTACTTAGGACCAATTTCAGAAAAAAATTTAAGAGTACTTGTTAATAAAATCAGTGACTTAAACATCTCCTTTAAAACCAAATATAACATCAAGTCCATCTTCAGCAAGACCAAAGACAAAGTTGAAAAACTAAACAGAAGTGGTATTTACAAGCTGTCCTGTGGTGACTGTAATATGACTTATGTAGGTAGAACAATGAGAACTCTGAATCAAAGAATCAAAGAACACCTCAATAACCCAGAAAAATCAAACTTTGGATATCACATTAAATTTAATAATCATTCCTTTTCTCCTTCTGAAAACAGTAAAATTTTACACAACATTCCCAATAAAAACTTTAGACTCATGAATCTCTTGGAAGATCTTGAGATATCCAAAGCAATGAAACTAAACCCTGATTGTTGCTTAAACACACAAATCAACCTCAATTGCAATTATAAACCTCTTTTTAAATTATTATGGGAGACTTTAGAGGAAGAAGGGTGACCTCATGCAATCTTATTATATATTTTTTCATACTCTTATATTTTTAAACAAATTTTGAACTTTATTAGAAATTTACAAGATTTTGTAATTCATTTGACAGTTATTCTTAATTGAAACATGAAAATACATTCTTAAAAAATTTCTTATGCAAATTTCTTACAAATTTCCATCAAGAGATACAATTCTCAATACACTTAAGTATCAGATAACGTAACATTAATACCATGTTTTTTCTTTATATTGTTGTTGAACAATTTGAGCCCTTGTTTCTTAAGGATGGCTGTCAGATTGAACATACATTGACCTTAAGCAATGACTTGAGTGAATTTAAAAACTAATGTCATTCTGTATAATGTGATGAACACATAAAATTTCATTTAAACACTTAAAATTCTTTGATGACTATTAGTAATTCCAAACATTAAATATTTTTGTAAGAATTTAAAAAACAATCTCTATTTCCTATATATGACATTTGTCAACTGTCACTTTTGAAAAATCGTTTAAGAGGACCGACATTTGATTTCATTAGTTCTATTCTGCCTACCTCCTCAGATCAAACAATGGTCGGGTTCTTACACCCGTACCATGACAAAAAAAATTTTTCAATTTTTTAACGTGTTTGTGAAGTCCAGTGTCGGCTTTTTATATGTTTTTTTTATATGTTTTAAGAATTTCAACAAAAATCATAATTTTGAAATATAAGGAAATGAGATCTCTCCTTTGTAGTGGTATTTAAAAAATTGACGTAAGTTAAAAATTATAATCTTTACCAATTAGTACTTATAAGAACATTTTATTGTAGCATAGCTCTGATGATGGCTTTGTAAAGCCGAAAGCGCTCAGCTAGGAATTGCCTAAAATATACACACTTCAAAAATACTTTTTTTACATTTTCTTTCGACTTTATTTTTTATTCTTTGCCTGTTTGCAAATAAAATTGATTTATTGAAGTGGTGCGTTAATTTCTTGGAGAAGTGTATGAAGATAATACTTAAGGTTTTGTAATTTTAAAATAATATTTTATACATACCCTATCAAGAGCGATATAGCCACCATTCTTATTTGCATGTTCCTCTAATTTTCCAAGGTAGAGTGGTACAGATTCTTTAAGTTTTTTATTTTTCTCATCTTTCTTGGCAGCATCGGATTCCATCACACATTCAAATGCAACTGTAGAGAAAATTATATTATAAGAAACTAGATTTCATACAATAAAAATATAGTAAATTAATAGTTAAATTAAAATGTTTTTAAGATAACAAATTTTAAAAATCATTTATTTGCCAGATTTCCAGTTTTCTAACTAGGCATACAATTGTTTGTTTTGATTCTCCCCACATATTTAACTAAGATTTCGTATACAAAAACACAGACGCTATGGATTAATGAACGGTAGTTAAATACTTTGTTGCAGACAAAAGACTTCTTTCATACATTGTATGTTAAGAAAGAACAAGAGAAAAATGAATGGCTTTTGTAAAAGGTAGATCATTGGGTAATTATCGCCCACATCTAACGTCAGCTTGTACAAAATAACTCTTGGCCCAATGGCCAAAGATCTCAGTCACCATCAACCACTCGGTCACCATCAGTCGTTCCATCCAGTAGGCTGCTCCACCATCAATACTTTTGTGGTTCCTGTATGTCGTTATAGACGTCATTCATTTTTTAATGGAAATGCTTTATCTCTACTGTTTCTAACATCATTTCTGTCCTCTCTGTGTCAGGTCATATTGACCTAACCAAAATATCGTGACAATAAATAAATTCATGTGTACAATATTTATTTCTATTTGTTAGTGCTTTCTCTACTTAAAGAAAGGAGATCCAAATTGTTGCTATTTTTTGTGCTGATCCAGTATATTTTTCTTTTATTTTTCCATATTGTCCTATATATAATTTATCCATTATATCTCTAATAATTGTGGCGTATAATATGGATTACATGTTTCTAAGAGTTTTACTGTAAGAAGGATGCAGCTCCATATTTAGACTGTTTTGGGTGGAAACATTTGTCATAATTAAAAAAATTGGCAGATTACTGGTATAAGAACGATGCAGATCCGATAATAAACAAAGGAATTACACGTCTTTATAGATCTGCCTCCTAACTCATTTGGTGCAAGAAGGGTACAGCTCCGGACCTGCATCCTTTTTGCACCTTGTAAATGTTTGGTGAGTTTCGTGGAATGCAAGGTCATTTTCTGTTAGCGCTGGGTCGGCAGGGCAGCTAATTTTGTTTTGACTTGTTAGTCGTCATCATTACTGCGTGGCGTGTGATTTTATGCGGTTTAATTGTTCGTGTAAAAATTTAACGTCGTGTAAAAATGAGTGAAATCGAATCAGGTCCGTTTAGCGCTAGTGAGTCAGACTATGAACCTACAAGCTCTGACGAATTATCTCTGTAAAAAAACAACACATTAAACCTGTTGTCAACATGGAGCCTACGGAAGAGCTCCTAGTTGTTCCTGTAACCAAAAATGTGCCAACCCCCACTCCCTGGAAAAGAAATATGAAAAAAAAAGCTATTGCAGAAGGGAAAATGTATACGAACTTGTAAGGAATATAGAAGAGACTGAGATTAACTGGATCGAACTGCAACTGTATGTACAAGTGTTTTCAGAATGTGGACGAAGAAACAAGAGAAGTTGTCTTACAAAAGTTTAAAAAAATAGGCAACAGATTTGTAAAATACCTATTTGGGAGGGTTGATTCAAACTACTACCATTCAAAGAACTCGAAAAAAGACTAATTAAAGGCAAGACAGCACTTGTTCCCACACATACTTTATAAGGCTGGGTACGCTATCCAAACGAGTTTGTAGACATGCTTTTGGTTCAATCTACGGCAAATCAAGGAAACGCGTAGATTTTATTGCTCAATCTTTTCGTGAGAGAGATATTGCAGCGTGACCTAGTAACAAACGAAAGCATACAAATAGACTCAACCGAAAAACAAACAAAACACTTAAAAATGTAAACATGCACATCCAGAGCTTTCCAATGCGTGAATTTACTCACCGGAGGGACCGCAGACCTTCGGATACAATTAGCGTCTCTTAGCAAAGACAATGACGTCGACTTTACTAAGTATCAAGACAATTACTCTACACACACAAACACACACACACACACTACATTATTAAACTTATCTTGATTGAGACTGGCTGAATGACATTTGTCCAAGCCAAAACACACAAAAAAAAGGCGTGAATCGCATTATAGTAGAAAACAAATCCCGTCGATTCTGTTTATCTCCAGATCTAAATGTAAAAGATGCATCAACTCTATTTGGAACTTTACGAACCAGAAAGTGTTAGTAATCCTAAATATAAACCCAAAGTGTGACTTCTACTATCGATAATTCAAAAAAAACTTCAACTACAGGTTTGGCTCACTTCGATCAGATACGTGTAAAAATGTGATGTCTTAGATAACAAACTCAGAGATGTGAATCTCAACGAAAATAAACGAAAAGTTTTAACAGCGGAAAAGAAGTTGCATGAAATTAAGGCCGATTTGTTTTTCAAGGAGCTGAAGGAGAAAACCACATTGTGCAAACATAGTGACGAAGTGGAGGTTCTGATCTTTGACTTTCAACAAAACCTTCCACATCCAAAAATTCCTGCTGGGGAAGCTTTCTAGAAACACCAGTAGTGACAATACATTTTCTGCGTCCATTCTGGTAAATTAAGCACACTTTTATATGTATGATGAAACTACGGCTCAAAAGTCACCAAAACGAAGTAATGTCATTTTTGTACCACTATGTAAAAATATACTCCCTAAAAATGTTAAACTTTTACACCTTTTCTCCGATAACGCTGCTGCTCAAAATAAAAACTCAGTAATGATTCAGTTTCTTTATGTTTTCCTGAGCCAGGACATAACTTCCTTCCCTGTGATCGCTGCTTTGGAGTTATCGAGAAGTTTTTAAGGAAGAAGGACTACGTTTTTAGCCTCCAACAATATGCTGATTTTGTTAAACAATCATCCTAAACAGTATATTTACATTCTTTTAAAAGAAAATATGATGCTGAACTTTAGTGGTCACTATGAAGGACATTTTAAAAAAGTTATCTCAGATGCAGACAAGCAAAGATTCCAGATTTCCAAATACCAAATTTTCCACTACCGCAATGAACGTTTAGATGGTATTAAAGTCAGTATATCTACTGGCCTTCCAAGTTTTTACTTATTCCAAATCTTGAGAAACTTCGACAGAGACCTCTCAGTTTCTTCTCATATTCCTGTCTATTGCAATCCTATACCTGTCAAAAAAGCCAAATATGCAGATATAATGCAGTCGGTAACAAAATTCGTTCCTATGGACCAAATGGTTTTTTACACCCGTCTCACAAGTGATGCAGCCATGACAGAACCAGAAAACCGAATCATCTGGAACGGATGATGACAATTAAGTAGATGAATAAAGTATGTGTTTGCCCGTGTGTTATTGTTTAATTTTTTTTCTATATGCTATTTTTTGACACCAACCTGTTTCTTTTTATAGATTTTTGCGTATTTGTGTAGTAGGGAAACCATAGTCGTTTTATTGTAGTATCCGAATAAAAGAGATTTTAAAATCATGAATGTGTTGTGAAATAATAAATAAGACTTACTCACAATCAATTTAATTTAACTATCAGACGACCGGTTTCGCTTTCTACAATATGCAAAGCATCTTCAGGTCTCGATACAAAGTTAAATAAATGCTGAAATGATAAAAACCCATATTAGGGTGTTGTCTAATAATTGTTTTTTGAAGGTGACAGTTTTATGACAATTACTCAACAAATAACACACATTTCATAAATATATCTCTCGAGTTAGTATAAATAACTCTTAATAATACAATAGTATATTACACCACTTTCATTTAACAAACATTTATACACATATCTCTACTTCATTGGATCAAATCTATCTCCTCAAGAACTTCCCGTTTACTGTCATAGAACTACAATAGCAGAATTGAGTTCTCCATTCAACAATACATAGTAGTTTCAACCATGTTCTACTATCCATTAATTAATAGAGTACCGGCATGTAAGTAATGTTTATTTATTTGCTCATTTATTAATTTATTACAATCTAATAGACTATTTTATAACAATTTGTGAGCCTTACCTTGTCTGTTTAAACTTTTAAAACTTTTATACCTTTTTATTCAACTTACTCTTTTTGAAATAAAACCACAAACATGTAATATTGGCATAATTATTGTAATTTCCAACATCTAATTTGTTTATCTTTATTAGATAACACCCTAATATGGGTTTTTATAATTTCAGCATTTATTTAACTTTGTATCGAGACCTGAAGATGCTTTGCATATTGTAGAAAGCGAAACCGGTCGTCTGATAGTTAAATTAAATTGATTGTGAGTAAGTCTTATTTATTATTTCTTTACCTATTTAAAAGAGATTTTGTTGGGAATTTCTGTTTTTTTCCTTTAAAATGATGCTAAAAGAGCAATATTTCACGTGTTTGGTTCAGAAAAGATACAGGTCCAAGTTTTTTTCAATTTTTTTCTTATTTTTGACTAAATCTGCTTGTCATCAATTGATGTTATGTCTTTTAACATAGTTAAAAGACATAACATCAATCGGTTAAAATAAAAATTTTTAAAAACCAATTTTTTTCAATTTCCCAACAATTACCAATTATGGAGCTGCGCCTGCTTACAGCAAACTCCTCAATTTATTTAACCACTTCCTATGTAACATTTTTCACTTTATTTGCTTATCTAATCCATTATTTTCTTGTTAGATGTTTAATTATTGTATAATTAAACATCGCCAACGCTTACCTTTTCATGAATATTTTTGTAGTTTTATCACACAATCTACTTCTGAGTTGTTTTTATCTTTTCTGGTATCCATTAGATTTTGTCATTAGTTTATTGGTAAATATTTTAAATAAGCTGACAAACTTATAGGTGTCTTGAAACAGGTGGGAATTGACGACCGAGACCTCCGTATTATCAAAAAATTGTATTTGCATCAATGTGCAAACATACGAGCTGGACACAACACGGCGGAAGCAGTGGAAATAAGACGTGGAGTGAGGCAGGGATGTATTCTATCGCCACTACTTTTTAATATCTATTCCGAATTTATTTTCAAAGAAGCCTCAGTTAAAAATACAGGCATTAAAATCAACGGAATT